CGGCCCGTTTCTGTTCCTTGCCTGGCCCGCTTTTCTTTGTCGGCCCGTCCCGTGGTCCGAATAAGAGTTGCCGCGGCCCGCACTGCCGCGCAGGCGAATAGCCGGCGCGATATGTTGCACTCGACCATGCTGGAAGCCATATTCAAGATGTCATGCTTCCACGAGGCATCCGAGTAGTCTCGGCCCATGTGCCAGGACACTGTTTTTACCCTGTGTCGTGCTGGACGCTCCCGGGGCCCAGCGAGGGACCCAGAGGCGGAAGAGTAGCCAAAGTCGCGCGGTTGCGTTTTTCGTCACGACGAGGGGAGGTTGGGTGATCCCAACCCTCGTGTGCTGGGTTCTCGTTTTCAATAGAGCACTGTGGTCTCCACTCCTTCCTTCTTCTTATTCTTCTTCCTCCTCCTCCTCCTCCTCCTCCTCCTCCTCCTCCTCCTCCGCGCGGCTCCCTGGGGGGATCCAGGCGAGAACTCGCGGCTCCCAGGAGGGCTGCGAACTGAGCCCAGCGGAGTGGGGTGGTGCGCAGACCCAGCCGAGACCTCGCGGCTCCCTGGGGGGCTGCGATCTGCGCAACTGTCGCCACTGTCGTGGGCTCCTGGGAGGCCCAGCGGAGTGGAGGAGCACTCACATACAGCTGGGATCTCGCAGCTCCCTGTGGGGCTGCGAAGTGCGGGTCCTGCATCGTGCTCGTGTGCATCGAGCGGTCCTTAGCACAGCCGCCCGATGCTCAGAAAAGGGCTGGGCACGCCGCAGGATCATTTCACGACGAGGGGGGGGTGGGGGGGGGGGGCTGTCGGTGCATGCGCGTGCCCCAGCGCAGGACGATGGAGCCTGTCAGGTCTGGAGGGCGGGCGCAGCACCTGGATCAGCATCACCTTTCCGAGCTCGGCACGGATTTCTCGGATCGGCGCCGCCATGGGGGGCGCGCCGATCGAAGAAAAATCCGCGCGAAGCCCCAACAGATTGTGCGACGTATATCCCGACCAACCTGTGGGGTTGGGTCCTCGCTCTGAGAAGACAATCTTCGCGTCCTCCCTTCCCTCCCTCCTTCTTCGTCCCTCCTTCCCTACCTGCCTCTCTCCTCGGCAGGCCCATTTTCGCACACCCCTCACACGTTTCGTGGCCCCATAGGGAGCTCCACCTAAGGCCCAAATTGCTGGGCTCGCATGCCTGATCCCCGCCATTTCGGCGAACCTCTTGCATGCTTCGTGGCCCCATCGGGAGCTCCACCTAATGCCCAAATGGCTAGGTTCGCATACCTGGTCCACGCCATGCCGGCGCACCTCTCACACGCTTCTTGGCCCCATAAGGAGCTCCACCTAATGCCCAAGTGGCTGGGTTCGCATGCCTGGTTCAGACCATGCTGGCGCACTCCTCACACGTTGCGTGGCCCCACAGGAAGCTGCACCTCAGGCACAAGTGGCTGGGTACGCACGTATGGCCCACGCCATTTCGGCGCACCCCTCATACGCTTCGTGGCCCCACCTGGAGCTCCACCTGAGGCCTCAGCGGCTGGGGTCGCATGCCTGATCCACACCGCTTCGGCACACCAATCACACGTTTCGTGGCCCCATAGGGAGCTCCGCTTGAGGCACCAGCGCACCCCTCACACGTTTCGTGGCCCCATAAGGGGGCCCCACCTAAGGCCCAAGTGGCTGGATTCGCATGCCTGGCCCACGCCATGCCGGCGCACCTCTCACACGCTTCGTGTTCCCATGGGGAGCTACACCTAATGCCCAAGTGGCTGGGTTCGCATGCCTGGTTCAGACTATGTCGGCGCACTCCTCACCATTTTCTTGGCCCCAAGGTGAGCTCCTCCTGAAGCGTCAGTTGCTGGGTACGCACGCATGGTCCACGCCGTTTCGGCGCACCCCAAACACTTCTCGCAGCCCAAAACGGAGCTCCACCTAAGGCCTCAGCGGCTGGGTTCGCATGCCTGGTCCACACCGTTTCGGCGCACTTCTCACACGCTTCATGGCCCATAGGGAACTCCTCTTAAGGCTCCAATGGAAACCGCGCGCAGACGCGCAGATCAACAAGAACGGGCTACATCCAGATGTAACTCGTCACGGCCGACCTCTGCGACCCCATCAGCAACGTCGCGCCGTCCTTCCCACGCACGCCTGAGTCCTTTTGCTCGCCCGGTCCCTCAGTTTCCACCTGTCGTGCGGTTTCGGTGGCAACTCATGGGAACCTCCCACACCATCTCGTCGGCTCTTGCGAATCGACGCTAATCGACGCTAATCGACACTGATCGACGCCAACTCGACGCTAGCCAAAGCTACATCGGCGCTGCCTCGTCGACTCCCAGACGCTGATCGACACTGAACGATGCGATGCTAGACACAAAATCCAGAGTGCACACCAGGCTCCCCTGAGTCGCTACCGAATGCGGCACTCGCAGCTGCATGTGGTCGGGTCCTTCGCCAAGCACATCTTCTTAGTCGAGCGTGCCGGGTCGACTGCCAACGGCGTGGCACGGAGGCGCTGCCGAGCCGGCGGGCCGGGGCTGGGGGAGGCGGCCCCTCGTCTCCTGCAGCACCTCGCTCTCGCTGGCGGCGATCCCGAACCAGAACATGCTGGAGGTGAAGTCGTCCCTTGGGCGGTTCGCAGGGTCCGCGCTCGAGCAGGGGAGCAAAACCGGCCGCACAGACGTAGGCTCGAGGCCAGGCACTCGGGGAGCACGAGTTCGCGTGGCATGCGCCGAAACAGAAACACTGCACACGCACAGAGTTTCGGAGGTCCGAGCGGGTTCCTTGGGTCGTCCCTGGCGCGCTCCGCGCGCCAGGGACGGGGTTCCAGCGCAGACCCACGAAGTCCCCGCGGACCTCCGAACGTCAGTATTCATGCAACTGTTTCCTCGTCGACCGAGGCCAGCCCAGGCGGAAGCCACTCCCGCTCCTCGCGCCCCCTCGACAGGAAGGGTGAGCCCGTGAGTGTGCCACCCCTGCGCAGGGAACCCTGCGGGAGGGGAGGAGCGAGGGAAGGGGAGGAGGGAAGGAGCCATCAGCAGGCAGACAGGCGCGGCATGCACGCGCAACGCGGAACACCTTGATGCAAGAGGTCTTTGGGGGATGTCGAGAAGACTTTGGCTTCCGCGAGCGGCCGCAGAAGTCCAGGGGGGGCCCCAGGCCCATCGGAAGGAATCACCATAACCATCGGGCAGTCAATATGTTAGCCAGCGTGGACCCCAAACAGAATGTCTCTGACAACGTACTGTAAGTGGTGATATCTACGTGGAGCAGTCTAGGTGGTGCAATGGATGTGGAGCAACATACGTGGTGCAGTATACGTGGTACCACTTATGTTGTGCATTATATGCGTTTGTGTACATATATATATATATATATAACTAGTGTGCAGCATTCAATGTGCATTATGCGTTGTGCAACACCTGTGGTGCTCTATAGATGTTGTGCGATCTACGTGGTGCAATAAGTCCTGTTCGCAATGAATTGTCCACTTCACTGCTCGCGCAAACATCCCACCCACCCACCCGCAACTTGGCTTGCAAACCTCATGCGGCGGCGATTGCGATGAGTGCTTGGCGATGGCTGGTGCATCTCTGCGGCTGCGCCAGCCCGCGCATGCGCGCGCGCAGAGGCCAGGCAATTTGGCGCGACCGACGCGGCCGCGGTGGTGTTGACCGCTCGGCACATCCCAGCGGGCACTTGAATGCGAGCCGGCGACTTGGGCGGGTGCGGTATCATGGCAATGTCGACACTTGTAGACACGATGGTGGTGATAGTAGCGGTGTTGGTGACGATGCTGACAGCGACGACGGCCCGGCCAGTGACGGCGCCGATGCAGACTACGCCGACGACGATGACGGCGTCTTCGCGTCGGTGATGAAGGTGTTGGAAGGAATTCGAAATGCGCGGGCGGCAGACGCGCGAGAGTGGCTCGCATGGTATTATTTGACACGGATCGTGCCACCCCAGCACGCGCGCAAGGGCGTTCGAACGATTTCGACATGCGCGCGCGAAGCCCGCTTGGTAGCATGTTATGAACAGGTTGAAAAGCGCATGGTGTGCTTAAGAATTCGCAAGAGCGCGCGCACGCATTTGTTGAACATCCGCGTGGTACTATTTGACACGGATCGTGCCCCCCAGCTAATGGGCGTGCGAATGATTTCGGCATGCGGCGCCAGAGGCCCGTCTCGCTGAATTCCACGAACATGTTGAACAACCTATTGTTGTTTAAAGAAGTCGCAGAAGTGCGAGCGCACGCTTTAAACATGTGTTGCGACATCATGTGTTTTAGTATGTTACTGGGACGCTCCATTTTGAAATCGCTTCGAGACCGAAGATGTTAGAAATGTTGAAAACCATTGGTTTTGGAAGGATTCGGCAAGAGCGCGCGGGGAGATGTTGCAACATTTGTGGGTGAGAAACTCGTTTTTTTTTGTTTTCTTGAAGATGTTGACATTGTTGAAAACACAAAATGTTTGGACATATTTCGACATGCGCGCAGCGGCCGCGCGCATGTGCCCCGCATGGCGTTTTGTTACAAGGGATTCGCGAACAAGTGCGATCTTAGAACAAAAAACGCCACCGTATACATAGTATGTTTTGCAAAGGAACCGAGGGGGTTGCGATACCGGCCTGGCTGGGATAGTTTGAATTCACAGGTAAGATGGACATTGGGTCAGAATCATAGATTTGCTTTGCATGGGTTCTCGGGGAATCGATAGCGAAGTGCGGCGACGAGGCGGCGACGGGGCGGCGACGGCGGCAGCATAGCCGCCAGAGCGGCAGAAAGGCCCAGTTCCTTCGACCAGCCATAAGAGCCCCTAAGTGCAAGCACTGCGTGGGGGAATCAAGTATGGAGGAAGCCGTCGTGTCCAGCAGGCACGTGAGCCATGCAAGCTGCGCAGGCGAGTCGCACTCAAGCGCGCCCTGCCTCGAGATTGGCGAGGCGGAAACGAGGAGCGAGAGGAAAGGGGAGAGAAAGCAGCTGCTGGCAAGCGATCTCCCGGCACAACCATGAACTTTCGGATGGCCGCGCCTGGCGCCCAGAGCTCGCCAGGGCGCCGCCGGAGGCGCCGATCCAGCTGAATCTGGCGCCGATCCTAGAAATCCGCGCGAAACTCCGAACGCGTGTGTTCATGCAGCGTTCTGCAGATAGGCTTGCCCATAGGAGTTCTGGCTCCCTAAATATCCGCACGGTTTCCTCCTATCCGCATGGTTTCTTCGGTTGGCTTCCTCCCATCGGCATCGTTTCCTCCTATCCTCATGGCTTTTTCCTATCCGCATAGTTGTTCCAATGTCATGTTAACAATCGTCCAGCAATCGTCAAACTGAGAAGCAGAGGAACATAACATATAGCATCGTAGAGCAACGTCGAGAAGAGAAGTGTCGATGAGTAGAGTAAAGAGTAGAGCAAAGCGGACCGACGTGGATCGAGTAGATTCGAGCAGAGCAGCAAATACGATACGAATGGATCGTCAACTGAACTGGGGTCGGCTAGGGCAGGGTAGGGGGGAGCAAAGTAAGGTAAATGATAAGAGTCGAATCGGACGCCGAGTATAATACAATATGTGATAGCTGGCTATCATTAGTTGGGGGGTATGAACGGAAATGGCCACAACCGGTAAATCAGTTTCGGTTCGCGTCGTGCGTGCGGGCAAAACGAAGCTGCGTGAGGTCCTGCACTGGTAGAAGCCACATGGAGCCCAAAGGGTTACCCCCCGATGGTTGTCCCGCGGGTTGTCCCAAAGGTTGTCCCGATGGTTGTCCCGATGGCGACAATTGTCCCGATGGTTGCCCCGATGGTTGTCCCCATGGTTGCCCCGACAGTTGCCCCGATGGTTGTTATTATGGTTGTCCCGATGGTTGCCCCGATGGTTGTCCCGATTTTTGTCCCGATGGTTGACTCGATTGTTGTCCCGATGGTTGTCCCGATGGTTGTCCCGACGGTTGTTTCGATGGTTGACTCGATGGTTGTCCCGAGGTTCGTCCCGATGGTCGTCCATATGGTTTTCTCGATCGTTGTCCCGATGGTTGTCCCGCGGGTTGTCCCAAAGGTTGTCCCGATAGTTGTCCCGATGGTTGTTCCGATGATTGCCCCGATAATTGTCCCGATGGTTGTCCCGATGGTTGTCCCGATGATTGCCCCGATGGTTGCTCCAATTGTTGTCCCGATGGTTGTCCCGAAGGTTGTCCCGATGGTTGTCCCGATGGTTGTCCCGATGGTTGACCCGATGGTTGTCCCGATGGTTGCCCGATGGGTGTCCCGGTAATTGTCCCGATGGTAGTCCCGATGGTTGTCCCGATGGTTGACTCGATGGTTGTCCCAATTGTTGCCTCGATGGTTGTCCCGATGGTTGCGTGATGGTTGTCCCGACGCCTGTCTCGATGGTCGACTCGATGGTTGTCCCGATGCATGACCCGATGGCTGTCCCGATGTTTGCTTCGATCGTTGCCCCGATGGTTGCCCCGATGGTGCCCCGACGGTGGACCCCTGACGGTGGACGCGGAGATGGATGGATCGATAGATAGAAGGACGGATACATGGTAGATCAATAGAAAGATCGAACATGGATAGATAGATTGGTCGACGCAGAAACATGTATAGAGATATCCACTTAAACATATAGAAAGACATACATACATACATACATACATACATACATACATACACACATACATACACACGTACATACATACATACATACATACATACATACATGCATACATACATACATACATACACACATACATACATACATACATACATGCATACATACATACATACATACATACATACATACACACACATACATACATACATACATACATACACACACATACATACATACATACATACATACATACATACATACATACATATATGGGTGCTGGCGCATTCCCGCACCCCTGCTGAAATCAACGGTTGCTTTACAACGCATTTGACGATGCCGGGCAGTGTGCGCAGCGAGCAGAAGATGGCGCCGCGCAGAAAAAAAAAAAAAAAAAAAAAAAAAAAAAAAAAAAAAAAAAAAAAAAAAAAAAAAAAAAAAAAAAAAAAAAAAAAAAAAAACGCGCGACCCATGAACGACCGCGATGTCGCGAACGGCCTCCCCCGTGCAAGAGCCAGCCTGAGCAATGTGCCGCCCCCCCCCCCCCCGTCGTCTAGACCACCGCGGGCGCTCGTCAGAGCGGCTTGTTCTGCCGCGGGCCTGCGCCGGGATGCGAGCGGCCCTTGAACGCGCCCCCCGCGTCGTCGCCCACTTTCCCGTAGAACGCGCACTCCTCCATCCTCAGCGCGCCCAACTGCAACTGGCCGCAGCGCTGGCGGTTCCGCCCCTTCAGCCGAGAGTAGAGTTTTCAGACTCGGCGTTGTCGGCGTGGAAGCCAGCGGCGGGGTCGCGGCAGTTCCTCTCGTGAGAGACGGGGGGGGGGGGCGCTCTTGTTGCCCCGGACCTTCGCGGCAGCGGCGGTGGGCGTCCAGCCGTCGTGGACCGGGAAAGTGCCCCTCTTCACTTCTCCTCCAACGTGAACTTGATCCCCCCCAATCCACGCGACGCGCCGCCCTGCGCATCTGCCGGCCGCGGAAGAAGTCGATAGGCAATCATATTGTTCTTCTTCGCGTGCGC